GTCTGTGACTTCAACCAAGGATTGCCTCGCCTAAAAAAAAAAAATTAACATTGGAATAGAATTAACATTAGCATTGTAAAATAACATCTTGATAAGCACATGTAGAATTTTTCAGAGAACATTTCCTGATACTTTTGTAAAGTAATGAGCTTTGTTATAATCGAAGAGATTCCATGCTATTTTTTTCTAGAAAATCATTGCTCTTATTTGATAAAATTTTAATTATTTTTCCTTATATGTCAAATATAATACAGAGGTTTTACTTTTATTTCAAATTGTTTTTAAATCTCTTAGATTTGTCTTGTTAAATATATCATAAAACTCAACGGTACAAAGAAAAAACCTCAATGGTACATTTATGATTACCAAAATTATTTGAAATATACAGTTATTAAGAAATTAACATCTACAGTTGACAACTTACTTATTTAGCCAAAATATCTGCCATTTTATATTGGAACAACTAGTCATCGTTGACATAAGATACTTCAACAGATCTGTGTAATTTATTTTCGTTTCAGAAGGATATGTGAATAATTTAACAAAGGAACATCAGCATTTTTAGATTGAGCTCTTATTTATAAATGAGAACCTCCTTTAAAATAAAAAATAATACATCGTCTTGTTGAGCTGGATAAAATAAAACCTGAGGACTTCTTCAAGAATGGTTGTGTTTGTTGGGATTTTAGAGGCCTGCCAAGCCCAATTCATTCATACAGAAACTGCTTAGATCTAGCACCTTCTATGATCCTGGCAATGGTTCCCTCCACACCAGGAGGTACAAAGGTTTGAAACAATAGCCTCCTGCCTTCCAGGATCCCAGAGAGATAAGATGTGCGATAAGATCTTATCTCTAAAAATAACCCCAAAGCAGAACATTGTGGATCGGACAGCTTTAACTGACAGCAGTATCTCTTAAGTGTCATGGGATTTAGGTGGAGACTGAGCTGGAATCAACCTGGATAGTCCTGAGCCGTGTCTGGGTATCTCATGGGATCCATGTTAGTGAAGCCCAAGACCTGTTTGTACTGACTCATCATCAGATCTCTTTTAGAAGGGCCGATATGTCATATGAGGTAATAAAATCTGGTTCATAATGTGCGTAAGCATCAACATTTTATTTTAAAACCCTTTTTCAAATTCTTCACAAAAAGCTTTTTAGCAAATTAAGAAATTCCTTTCACTTTTGTTGATCCCCAAATGATAGCTATCCCTTTTTATCCCTCCTGGTAGTGCGATTCGGTCTATATTAGGAAATGGTACACTGTAGCAGGAACAAGGCGAGACCAGTTGCTTTTTCTTCTTTGTGACGTACTTTCTTCCTCCACAGCACGAATCTCTGACACCTTCTGTGGAGAAGGAACGAGGTAGAGATTGCAGGCTGGCCTGGAGAGGATCTCCCTGAAATAAGATCAAATCTTGACTTTCCGGGACCTGAGATTTTTCTCTCATCCTCACCTCAAAGGGCCAATCTAGAGCAGCGTTGCCCAGTGAGCGCATGAGGCTGTGGGGCACTCCAACTGTGGCCATGCCGCCGAGAAACTGAATTTTTCATTTCATTTCACTTTAATTAATTTAAAGTTTAACTACATCCATCTTGAACAGCATAGCTCCCAGGCCAGAAAGCTATAATTATGCTGAACCCTCGAGTATTTTGAGTGAACGTGGGCTTCAGAGACTACCCCAGTGGGTCTTAAATGAGGCCCTGGGTGACCCCAGATTGGTGCGGTCCCTCAGCACAACGAACGACCTTTTAGCCCAGAGTGTCCTCTTCCTGCCCGCATCATGTCGCTGTGGGGCCCCCAGGGGAAGGGGTGGGTTCTGAAGTGCCACATTGTGGAGTGGCCCGGAAAAAGGTCACTGGAGCTGGCTAGAACTGTGCCCAGAAGGGTGTGTGGCCACGGCAGCCCAGTGCTCAGCCAGCTGGTGGGGGAGGAGGCAGCCCCGCTTCAGATGAGTGAGCCCACAGCGGGGCAACTTCACGGGTGGCTGGGGACCCGGCTTTCAGTCACCACCACCACCACCACCACCGCTGATTTCTACCCTCACAGCTAAACTGGGCCCCTTGCCAACGAGCATTGAGTCAATCTCTACATCCACTCATTTTTCTGTTGGGAATGATTGACTAAGGGGCAGAAACCACCGTATTGTGTGACGTGTTTAGGGACCTTGTGAAAAAACAGGTTGAAAACTATTTGTTCATTTGGAGGGGTTGGCAGCCAGAGGGTGAAGGTTTGTTTGAGTAGAATACCAGGGCAGGTCAGAATGGTTGGCTTGTCTCCGAAGAGTTAACTCCGGGAGCAAGTGACATACGTCAGCCCTGATCTCTACACCCCTCCTCTTGAGCAACCTAAGGGATCTGTGCTCATTGGCTGTGGGCAGGACTTAGAGTGGGCGGACTTTTTTCAATTAAGCAAAAGGGCGGGGCTTGAGCAGCCAATGACAGCTGCGCTCTGGCATATCTTCCCCATTCTCCACACTGCCAGAACTTGCCGCGGTGGCCGGTGGCAGCTGAGCACCGGCTCTCTCGTCAGCATGCTCTGCCTGTGTCTGTATGTGCCGCTCATCGGGGAGGCCCAGACTGAGTTCCAGTACTTTGAGTCCGAAGGGCTTCCCGCCCAGCTGAAGTCCATCTTCAAACTCAGTGTTTTTATCCCCTCCCAGGAGTTTTCCACCTTCCGCCAGTGGAAGCAGGTCTGTACCCGGGGTCACGCCAGGCCGTGGAAGGCAGCGGGCATTTTATCAGTGTTTGTCCAGCGGATGAGTGCTGCTGGTAGGGGTACATGTGTGAAAGGTGCGAGTTTTCTCCCCGCTTGTCATGTGGCTATAGCCAGTGAAGGGGTTAGGTCACAGGAATGACTGGCTTCCATGTGACTTCCAGGGAACACTGGAATTATAGGGAAGGCACTTGTGGGAGAGATGGAAAGGAATTCTCTTGCTGGGGACTGGGGAGGGTTTCTGAGAAGGAGGGAGTACTGTCCAGCTGCCGTGGGGCTGTTTCTCTGAGCTGGGGGTGGGGCGGGTGGCAGGGGCAGAGGTTTCTTATTAGAGGCCCAGGAGTTGGGTCTGTAGCTACAGAGCCAGAGCTGGCAGGACTGTACCCTGGGTGAAACGAACCAACATGTGAGGTGAGGGGTGCCTCCCAGACATCGCTGTGGAGCAGGGAGGCAGTGGAAATCATTGCCGTTTTAGAGATGGGGAATCAGCTACAGACTGTGGGGGTCTCTTGGCCCCTAAAGGGCCACGCTGACCTCTGTTAATCCTATCCTGTGCTATCCCCCTGTGCTCATGAGGGCAGAGGTCAGATGGTGTGCAGAGCATGGTGATTTATGTAATCTAGGAAGGAGACAGAAAGTAGGCCCATTGGCTACTGAGGGAGAATCAAGGACTTGGAGAATATTTTGGAAATCAGCTGCAATGAGCACATTCTTGGATTGTCTGTATCACAGGGCACTCACCCCAGTAAGGCACATGGTTCGCCTTGGTGGCAGAGCAACTGAATACCCAAGGGCTTCGTGCCTGCCATTCACCTCCTCCCTAAATGTCATGTAGATTCTATTTCTGCTCCTGCCATAAATCTGGAGCGATCCCTATACATAATTTGTATCATTCTTGGCTTAGAACACTAATGTCTGCAGGAAGTTAACATAACTAGATAATAGATAAAATATTTATCGGCATTGGTCTCACATTCCAGCCACACCCACAGGGTTCTTTGGTTCATGTTAGGTGACATAGTATCTACCCAGCCCTCCTCCTAGCACCCTTAGTGGCTGAGCAATCACAGAGAACCATCAGGTGGTTCAGAGAGTGACTGTGATTGTAATTGCTGGAGAGCGCCGGCGAGCCAATGGTCTATCGATTTCCAAACACACTGGCCCAGAAGACTTTGAAACCCATATTGGTCTATGGATAGTGGGTGCATTTCTCACTGTGAGAATTGGTCAATGCAGGAAGACTCTAATCATTTTCCTTAGGAGACTCTTAAGTCTTAGTTTTGGGGTGTTGCTGGGTTGGAGTGACTCATGTGTGTCCCTCACCTTCTTGAGATTAACCTTTAGGGTGGCAGCAGCATCTCTAGGGAGGAGGCTCTGGAGTCTCAAAAGGCCCAGCTTGAATCCCGCCTTCCCTGGCTGTGTGACTTTGGATAAATGACGTATCTTCTCCGAGCTCCCATTTCTTTCTCTATAAAAGGGGGAAGTGACAGCAGACAGCTGTTCGTGAGGGCGGCGGGTTACTAGAGGTAAAGCATTTAGCAGGACCCATGACTTGGAACCTCACTGCCAAGCAGCAGGGTCTCTTCAAGCTTTCTTGGGTCACTAAACTAAGTGGATCTGCCATATTTTACAGTGCCTGGTTGAGAAAGCTGAGGTTGGTTATATCATCAAGTTCCCCAGAGATCAGGGACTTGTAGCGCCATCGAACATATGCCCAAGAACTCCAGCCTCTAGAGTTCTCTCTGACAGTGTTTTTTGCCAAGGAGGCATTGGCAGGGGCTGGCTCTGCCCCATACCCTCACCCTGGCCCCCCTGATTGTTCCTGGGCCACAGCCACCTGTAGGGATAAAACCAGCAAGCTGCAGAGTTCCCAATGGAACCTGGAGCTCCAAAGCCACCCGCACATTAGGGAAGAGAGCATATGGGCAGTTGCTTGGCACCAGGGACAGCACTGCAGGGGAGCCAAGCAGCTGATCCTGGCAGCTACGACAAGTTAGTCTTTAGAACACTTGGAACGAGAGCGCGCCAAGGCCGCCACTGTTGGCCTGTCTGAAGGTCTCCTCTGGGGGCTGCTTTTCCTCTTTGCTTGAGAGGGAAGCAAGGTGGGCTCTTGCTTGGGTTCTGGCCCACGTGGTGGCTTTGGGAATAGAGCAGGGGAAGCGTCTCCGGTCATTGGGGACACCTCTAGTCATGGGTTGGCACAATTATTTCCCAGGAACAGGGTGCCACAAGACCCAAGCTGATGCATGAATTAAAGTATGAAACCTTACTTTTGTTTTGTAGAAAATTGTACAGGCTGGTGATAAAGACCTTGATGGGCAGCTAGACTTTGAAGAGTTCGTCCATTATCTCCAAGATCACGAGAAGAAACTGAGGCTGGTGTTCAAGAGTTTGGACAAAAAGAACGATGGTGAGCGTTGCCTCTGGAGCCAGCGGCAGGCCTGGTCTTGGGTTCTCGGTGGGCCTGGCTCCCGGCTCACAGCCTCTGTTGTTGCAGGAAGAATCGATGCTCAGGAGATCATGCAGTCCCTGCGGGACCTGGGAGTCAAGATATCTGAACAACAGGCAGAAAAAATTCTCAAGAGGTGAGTGCTTAGCCAGTCTCTTTATTTACTTGGTTTAACGAAATACACTGTGATAAAAGAAAGGTTCTTGGACTAACTCTCTGGTGTCATTCACTGCGTTGACCCTGTTCTCCAAACTTTGGGTTCTGGTGGTTTGAAGGGATGAATAAATAAGCTCTCCCGGGTTCCTGGTCAGCTGGCAGTGTGCCCCTTCACCAGTGACCCATGAAGAGAAAAGACCAGTTGGGGGGATTTCAAATAGGTGAAAGGCGAGCAAGGAACACCTTCTCCACCTGCTCGTGAAATGGGCACAGGGCTCACGTGCCAGCGTTCCACTTACAGTGAACTGAGCACCGCAGTCAGATGCGCTGCCCTAAAAGACAGGTCGAGAGTGAGTGGCAGTCCTGGGGGACAGCATAGTTGCTGTGCTGGGAAGTCGCAAGGAAGAGCCCTAGCAGCGGCTCCCTCTCCTGGCCGACCCTCTCCGCGTCCCTGGGGCCCGAAGCCAGCTGGTCAGGGACAGCAGCTTCCTGTGCCCACTCCCTGGCTGCTGTGGAGGGCGCGTCCTCGTGCTGTGCTGTGTGTTTGCCTCACTAACATCTGCTCCGAGCACTTATATGTGTTGTTTCTCCTCTCTCCTCTGCATCCCCTTTGTCTGTCTGTCAGAATACGAATGGGCCACTTCTGGGGCCCTGTCACCTAGTAAGTATCCGTGTCACCCTGGTGACTGCCTTCCTCCTTGATCTCTGTGCCTGATCGGAACAGGGTTCTTGTGGGCCATTAAACCCATTTTTGTACAAAGTGGGGTGTGGAGCCACCTCGCCTTTTCTCCTGGGGGGCAGGCACCTTCCGTGGTTTCCTCGGTGGCCACGTGCCTGCCCTTGACTCACCTGGAGGCGGGAAGTGCAGCTGACAGATGGAGCCTGTTTTTAAGTGGCACCTGTGTTTCCCTTGCAGCATGGATAAGAACGGCACGATGACCATCGACTGGAACGAGTGGCGAGACTATCACCTCCTGCACCCCGTGGAAAACATCCCCGAGATCATCCTGTACTGGAAGCACTCCACGGTGAGCCCCATACTTCCAGGGCCCGAAGGTGGTCTCTGCTTTGGCCATTCACAGGGTCCCTGTTGCCCAGCATCAGGCCCCATCGTGGGGGTGGGGGTCCCGGCCTGCCTCTGTTTCCCACGCACCAGCCCATCTAAACGACCTGACCATTCCCCAAACACAGGGTTCCTCCGCCCAGGGTGCTGCTTGTTCTTCAAGGCCAACTACAAACACCCCTCCCCAGATGCTCCTTGTTCTCCCAAAGCAATGCGAGGCTTCCTGGGGCGGGCGGGGCGCTCTACAGAGAACAGGTAGTATAGGTGTTGTTGCTCCCCTCCACAGCAAAAAGATAGGTCCCCACCATCGCATGCGTACGGCCCTTTCACCCCGTCATAGGTGTCGTTGAGAAATACAGATGTGCAGCTTCGCCTATAGTGGCCGCGTTCACCCTGCCCTTGATTCCCTTTTGTGCGGGGTGTGTCCCTCTCTGCGGGTCCTCGCTGAGTCCCCTCTCAATTTCAGTCTTATCCACCCCGGACTATCAGCTCTAGGGGGGTGGGGAGGTGTAGCAGAGGTACTCCTCCTGGTCTGTCTCCCTCAGTGCGCAGGCCAGGGCACCCTCAGGGGGCACGTGCTATCTTTGATGGGTGAAATTAAGTGGTCTGCTCCTAGGGTAGGAACAGGCTGACCTGTGGGTGTGACCTGCAGCCCTGGGGTCAGAGAAGAGCTGGCTCTGTCTAACCAGCCAGGTTGCCGGCCAGAGGAGGGGGTGTTACGCAGGCACCGCAATCCGCTCATATTTGCTGAGTCCTTACGTAATGTTCTGCCAGTGTGATCTGGTTACACATCAGGTTTCAGGAGAATTTTCACCCCTGACTTAATCCTTTTTGTACAGCCAGCCTGAAATTGCCTTTGTAAGCTGTTCTTCCAGGAACTCCCTGACAGTGATTGAAAGGGCTGTGTCTGTGGTTTTGGAACTGCTTTCTTCCAGCTGTGCTCTCAGATTCTATACCTTGACCTCTCTAAGGCCACAGACACGGACCAGAGCTTCGCCACCTTCAGCTAACGAAGGGGAGGAGGTGTATTAGTTTCCCACCCAGAGTCTTTGGCTTTCTCATCATCTGAGTGGTCCCTTGGGGTATCGGCCATGCTGGATGGTGGAAGGCTGTAGACCTAGCTGTCCACCAGAAGCTTTGCCGCAGGCGTCAGGGCCTGTTTGTTTTATCTTTGTCGGTCTTCCTTGCAGATCTTTGATGTGGGTGAGAATCTGACAGTCCCCGATGAGTTCACGGTGGAGGAGAGGCAGACGGGGATGTGGTGGAGACACCTTGTGGCCGGAGGTGGGGCTGGGGCCGTATCCAGAACCTGCACCGCCCCGCTGGACAGACTCAAGGTGCTCATGCAGGTATGCAGGAAAACAGTCCCCAAACCTCCCACTTTCCACCCCGGGGCTCTTCAGTGGGTGGGTTTCCTGTCCCTTGTTTGGGGCCCTGCTTTGGGCCCTTATTTTTCTATCCCAATAAATTAGATTGGAATTATTGCTCAGACAGGGTAACATTAGAACCAGGCCAGGGTAACATTTTACACATAGTCGATCTAATTTTATCTGAGGCCTTTAAGCCAGGGATCACATTATAGGGCCCTAATATAGACAGGTGAAGCCATTGAGAACTGGGGTGTGGCAGGAACCTTTCTTTAGGTACATCTTGTATAGGACGCCACATGCAGGTGGCGTCCTATACAAGATGTACCTAAAGCAGATGTTCACCTGACCCAGACGCCATTACCTGGGCCAGACTCCAGATTCCACGTCCATAGGGCAGAGATAAGCTAGACCAACGTCAGGGACAGGGTTGCAAAATCAAGCCGTACAAGAATGCACTGTTGGACTTCAGCATCGTCCGAACAGGGGCCAATCACCGCTTGTCCCCTTGCTTGTGTCCTGGCACTTTTTGAGCCAGGAGACCTGCTCAGAAAAGATGTCATCCTTTCCCTTGCCCCTTTGCCCTCCTGGGCCTGCCTGTGTTTGAAGCCTGGGGATGGAGAATCTAAACCCCCTTCTTGAGCTGAAACCAGGAAGTAGAGTGGTTCAGAGGGAAGAGCCCTACGCCTGGAATCTGACCCTCTCCTACCCTCACAGCTATGTGACCTTAGGCAAGTCACCTGACTGCTGGGACTTCATTCCTCTGAGCCTAAGGGGCTCAAAGTCAGGGCCTCTTCAGTTTGTTGTCTTCAGGGAATGCCCAGGAATGCTGTAGAGGTGGAAAGCATTTCACTTGGGTAAAATGACACCATCCTGGGACATACTTTAAAGTAGCCCAGCGGCGGGGGGGCATTGCAGGGACAGGAGCGGCTGTGGTTTCATGAATGTTAAAGCTGATTGTGGATTCATGGAAGCTACTGTTGTATATGCTTGAAATTTTTTCATAACAAAGTCCTTTATTATGAAATTTTTTCATAATAAAGTCTTCAGAATGCAAGACGGAAGAGCCTGCCTGCCGACCTTGACTGTTGGCCAGTGAGAAGAGGCTATGTGTCAGGCGATGGCAGCCCTGTGGCCACTGAATTCTTTCTGACCTCTCGTCCTTCCCTCCTCAGGTCCACGCCTCCCGCAGCAACAACATGTGCATCGTGGGTGGGTTCACCCAGATGATTCGCGAGGGAGGGGCCAAGTCACTCTGGCGAGGCAATGGCATCAATGTCCTCAAAATTGCCCCCGAGTCAGCCATCAAATTTATGGCCTACGAACAGGTGAGGATGCGGCTCCCCAGGAGAGTTGCCAACTGGCAACTGCCTGTCGAGCTTCCCCTGGGCTGAGGTCCCTGCCCTGCTGATGCCCAGTCATTTGTACCTGAGGACAGCAGGGCGAGGTGGGAAGTGGGGGACCTGGGGCTGACCCTGGCTCTGCTGCCATGTCCACTGTGAGCCAGTTCCTTTCATCTCTGGGAAGTGTCACATGTGCCAGGGACACCATGTCTCAGCTCAACCTGACTGGCTCCGTGAGGGAGGATGGGACAGGGGCAGGTGCACTGGTCCCTGGGGTGTATCAGTTTATTCGCTCCCTGTTCTAGATCAAGCGTCTTGTTGGGAGTGACCAGGAGACACTGAGGATTCACGAGAGACTTGTGGCAGGGTCCTTGGCAGGGGCCATCGCCCAGAGCAGCATCTACCCGATGGAGGTGAGGGGCCACCTTGGTCCTGGGGCAGGCAGTGCGCGTCGGGGTGAGGGTGACGAGCAGTGGGCCGTGCTCACACTTGCTGCTCTTGCTGGGATCCGCAGGTTCTAAAGACCCGGATGGCCTTGCGGAAGACGGGCCAGTACTCAGGCATGCTGGACTGTGCCAGGAAGATCCTGGCCAGAGAGGGAGTGACCGCCTTCTACAAAGGCTACGTTCCCAACATGCTGGGGATCATCCCCTATGCCGGGATAGACCTAGCCGTCTACGAGGTGAGGCCCCAGAAGGCTTAGGCCCCTCGAACTAAAGGGAGAGATTCAGAAACCCTCTCCTTGCCATGGCCCCACCTGTTGTCAGGACCCCAGCCTGATAGACCACTGGGGATGGCTTAGACCTGGAACAGCAACAAAGAGTGTCTCCTTCCAGACTCAGCCTATTCATTGCAAAGGTCTCCTGTCGTTCTGCCTGCCCCCCGCAGCCCCTAGGTTCTGCCCCCCACGGGCTCAGCAGGTAGATCTCCAGAGCACAATGCCCTGGGGGCTCAGTGGTCCCCCAGCAGACTCCAGAGCACGGAAGTCAGGCTCTCTGGGCAGAGTGCTACCCCTGCCTCATCCCCATTCCTGTCCTACCCAGGAATCCCTAGTGACAGCATAAACAAAGGGCAGCAGCTCAGCCAGCCCAGGCCAAGTAAATCAGGTTACAGTGGCCTCGCGGATCCCATGTGATGGGGATCCAGCATCCGTGTCCCCCCGGCACCCCCACTCCAGCCTTTCACTGCCTCACGAGCTCTTCTTGGGGCTCAAAGGCACCTTTGCTCATCCCTGTCCCTCTTCCCCTTTCAGACGCTCAAGAACGCCTGGCTGCAGCGCTACGCAGTAAACAGCGCAGACCCTGGCGTGTTTGTGCTCCTGGCCTGCGGCACCATGTCCAGCACCTGTGGCCAGCTGGCCAGCTACCCACTGGCTCTGGTCAGAACCCGGATGCAGGCTCAAGGTAAGGCTGGTCCAAGCCCGGCCCCATGGGACCCAGGGAGGAGGTGGCGAAAGACCTCTGATGTACAGCCTCTCTCACTGCAGCCTCCATTGAGGGCGCTCCAGAGGTGACCATGAGCAGCCTCTTCAAACAGATCCTGCGGACCGAGGGGGCCTTCGGGCTGTACCGGGGGCTGGCTCCAAACTTCATGAAGGTGATCCCAGCCGTGAGCATCAGCTACGTGGTGTACGAGAACCTGAAGATCACTCTGGGCGTGCAGTCGCGGTGACGGGAGGGAGGGCAGCGCCGCCCAGCGGACTCGCTAATCCTGGGCCTGCGGCCCCGGGATGTGTAGCCATCTCATTCTGTGAATGTGCCAACACTAAGCTGACTTAAGCCAAGCTGTGAAAGCCCTGGGCTGCACCCGCAAGGGAGGGGAGAAACGCTGGCGGGCCCGCCGGATACGTCCTGCTGACCCTGGCCCCACCCCCATGTCCATTCCAGGAAAGACCCATTGGTGTTCCCTGAGGTCCAGGGGTCAGCAGGACACAGGCTTATTTATGTGCAGTAGGGACAGGACGTTTCCCGCAGTGCCTGCCTAACAGCAGGGCTTGGAGGCTGGCTTAGTTCTTCCATCTCTTCCTCGCACCCAGAACATGGGCCGCGGGCCCCGGCCCTCTGGTCTGCCTGTGGGCACCTTCCCTGTGCCCACTTTGCTTCTTCCTCACTGCTGTTTTAATATGGTAGGAGGAGGGCTGCCAGCCCACTCCCCACATCCCTCCTCACTCCGCTCTCCTCAGCCCGTGGTCAAAGGTGGTGGCACCCGACCCTGCCACAGCCACTCCTCAGTCGTGGAGGGAGGAGGGAGGAGTCTGGCTTCTGCGCTCACCTCATCTGAGCTCACCAGCAGCTGGGCACCCCGATGTGCACGTGCGTGCAGGGGCGAGGCCCTGCCCCACTGCTGGCTGCCTGGAAGGCCAGTACTGGTCCTGGGATCCCCGAGGCCTCCGCACCATGCTGCTGGGGGGCCTCCCGGGGTTCTGAGCTGGCCCCAGACTCTGTCAGGACTGGCACCAGCTCAGAACCAACGTCCCGTCCCCACTCTGGCTGGAGGCAGTGGGGCGTGCTGTAGCGCGAAGGGCAGTTTCTGCCCTGTGTCCGCGTGCCCTGGCGAGAAGGAAAAGGGTTAAAGGCCTTAATTATGTGTTGTCGAGAAAAGGGTTTTGTTCAGAAAGACAAGCTGGACAAATGTGCAGATTCTCTGCTTCCAGAAGGAAGACAAAGGGAGTGGATAGCTTGGCTGACTGCATTAAAGTCTGTTTCTGTTGCCCCTGGGGATTTATGTCCAGTCCCAACTGGGGCAAGTGGGACCAGCCTCACATTCCACTGACGTGATGTATCACACTGCTTGGAGCCTATTTATTTCGTATTTATTTGAACAGAGTTATGTCCTACCTATTTTTATAGATTTGTTTAATTAATAGCCTGTCATTGTCAAGTTCATTTTTTATTCATATTTATGTTCATGGTTGATTGTACCTTCCCAACATCCGTGAGGTGGGGTGAGGACAGGAAGGGGGTCCGTGGGAGCGACCCTTCCCACCACTGCTAGCACCGACGTCACTTCTGTCCACAGGTAGAAGGTGGGGGGACCCTGATTGCACAGATGCCCTTTGGCACGTTGGGGTGTGCGTGCACCCAGGAAGCCTTAGGATCTGAGGGTTTGTTGGGGGCGGAAGAGTGGGAGAAATCTCAGTTCCATTGACCACGGAAATCTAGATCCCTCCTCGGACTGGGAGGATTGCTTTATTTCACCCTTTTTGAATGACAAGGCAGCAAGGTGCCTATCACTGTGAGTTTGGGGTGGGGCTAGAGGAGAGGGCAGCCAGCTCCCCACTCCACCTGTGACGTGGGCTCCTCCCGCCACCCCCCACCTGCTGCCCCTGTTCAGTAATGCTGGTCAACCTGCAACCTCAGTTGTACCTCCATCCCACCAGAATGGCCTGATGAGGACAATTTAAATAGGATGCAAAGATCAATGCAAAAATTACCGTTATATATAAATATAGTTATAACTGGAATTTGTGAAAAAACAAATTAAGAACGAAATGGAAGTTGTCATTTAAAAAGAGCCTTCTAATAAAGTTGTTTCAAAAGCTGATGGCAGAGCCCTGATTTTTCTGGTTGGGGCCTGGGCGGTGTCAGCGCATTCACATGTTAGAAAACAAACCCAATTTTCTCATCATGGAAAAGCCACCTCTGGGCTTCTCAGAAGCACTCCCTCTTTAGAATGCATGTTTGCTGGGTTTGGGGTGCTCTGACCAGTACCCCCTCAGCCCTGTGATTCCACACGTCTCAGTCATTCCCTCCTGCTTGGAGCCGTTCTGGGCACCACTGGGCTTCTGTCCACCTCACAGCTGCCCCTCCCTGGCCTCCCAATTGGTTCCTGCCCATCTTTCTGACTTAGATGTTGGGGGGCCCCACCTGACATTCTTTATTTGCTTTGTGCCTGTCTTGCCTGGCAAGGATGAAGCCCCTGGGGGCAAGGTTGTGCTTGCCCTTCTAAGTCCCCGTGCCTAAGACGCCTGAAGCACAGAGTGTTCAATAAAATGTTTGCTAAATAACTGTCCACACTCCAGTCCCCTGACAGCACTGGGTGTCCTGGGTCGGGGACAGTATGAAACAGCTTGGGGAACCTGCTTAGGCCTCTGGCATTCAGAGGCTGTAGGGAGGCACGGAAGTGTGCCCGGGGTGAAACTGGCATATGCCACTTGTCTTGGGTTGAATAGTGTTCCCTCCAACGTTCGTGTCCACTGGGAACCTCGAAATGTTGCTTTATTTGGAAATGGGGTTTTCGTAGACGTAATGCAGTTGATTTCTTCACTGCTGTTCCCAGTAGGTGCCAGGCACCCACCGGTGCTTAGTAAACAGTTACTGGTTGAATGAGGCCCATCCAAATGTTTCATGGTGTGGCACGCAGAATCACGCCCCTCCCAAGGATGTCCATGTCCTAATCCTCAGAACCTGTGAATCGGGTGACCTGGTTGAGGGATGCAGCTGGAATTAAGACCCATCAGCTGACCTCAGAACAAGGAGATGATCCAGGATTACCTGAGTGGCCCCAAGTAATCATGAGATCTTTCCATGTGTGAGAGGGAGGCAGAGAGAGAGCCACAGGTGGCCCAAGACTCAGCCCCAGGTCACTGGCTTTGAAGGTGGAGGAAGGGGCCACAAATTAAGGAATGCAGGTGGCCTGCAGGACCTGAACAAGGCCAAGAACAGATTCTCGCCTGGAGCCTCCAGAAGGAACCAGCCCTGCCGAGACCTGTGTCTGAGCCCAGTGAGCCCATTTCAGGCCTCTGACCTCCGGATTTGCCTGGAAGGGCTGTTGGAAAGTCAAATGAGACAGGAAATGGAAACAGCTGGTCCTTAATAAACAATTTTATCTCCCAGCTCCCTTCCCCATCCCGGATTCCAAACACAGAGTAATTTCCGCCGAAACGCTTCTCCTTCCAGCCGCCCAGCGAGGAGGCTCATGCCGGCCTGGCATCTGACTGGCGTCTGAGAGGAAATCCAACCCGGAGAGTGGTGGGGGCAGCCACTTGTTCTGGGTGACGGGTCCTTTACCCTCCTTCCTGAAGCTAGACCCTTTCATCTCTAAATCTTGAGAGTGACATTTATTGAGCACCAGCTGGGGCACTACACACACGGGCCCTTACTTTGTCCTCAGCGGTTCTAGGAGGTACTGTTGCTGCCACGTCCCCATTTTACAGATGAGAAAACTAAGGCTCCAGGAGAAGGGTCTTGCCTAGGACCTCACCATGATTAAGGGCTGGGAAACGTGGGGCAGGCCTCTGCTTGGCACCTGGCACCTGGCAGTGTGATCCTGGGCAAATCTCATGCCTCTGTGAGCCTCAGTTTCCTCGAGCAAGGTGGGCACAGTACCTTCCTTACGGCTCAGAGGGGAAAGACTCCCCAGGTTCCTACAAGGTGAACAGTGAGCTAAGATGCAAACCAGCTTTGCTGACTCTGAGGCCATGTTCTCGACCTCGGCTCCTGGCTGGGCTGCCCCAGTCCTGATCTCGCTGGCCTGAACAGGCTGGAATACAGGGCAAAGGTGAGAGGAAGAGCCCCCGTGTGCTAAGCCCAGCTGCTCAGGCATGGACCTTAGTCCCTGGCCTCCAGGGCCCACGAGAAAGCTGGAGCAGACCGGTGAGCCCAGGTCACAGTGGCTGGAGAGGCCAACCAGGGCTGGATGGGCAGGACCAGCAGATAGGGCAGGGAGGAACCAAGAATGAGGAAACAGGCCAGAGAGAACCAGACAGCTGCCCCAGTGCCCCCCAGGGAGTAAGATAAACCTGGGCTTCTGGGCTTCCCATGACTTGGAGGTGGGCAGGGTAGTGGCCACGAAGGAATGACTTCTTTGGGCCGTTTGCTGTCAGCCATCAGCACAGCCCCTGTGGCCCAGGAAGAACCATCTGGAGGCTGAGAGAGAGTGCTGTTGCCACCGCGTCCACCGGGGTGGGGCACCTCACCTGCACCAAAGAGCCCAGGCCCCGCCCCTCGTTTTACAGAGGACACTGACACCGGGCAGAGACTTGCCCAAGGTCACCGGAGCAGTTTCTCTTTCCTGACCGCACAGGCTTATACCATTTGTATTAGTCTCCTGTGGCTGCTGTTACAACCTGCCACGAACTTGGTGACTTAAAACAACACCGATGTATTCTCTTGTATTTCCAGAAGCCAGAAGTCCAAAATCAGCTTCACTGGGCGGAAATCTCTCGAGAACCCATTCCTTTGCCTCTCCTGCCTTCCGGAGGCCGCCGGCATCCCCTGGCTTGTGACCTCTTTCTCGGGTGACTTCAGCCTCTTGCTTGTGTTGTGGCATCTCCTGTAGTCAAATCTCCCTCTTATAAAGAAACTTGCGATCACATTTAGGGCCCACCTGAGTAATCCAGGAAACTCCATCTCGAAATCATGAATTTAATCGCATCTACAAATTCTCCTTACCACACAATCACAGGGGCCAGGGATTAGGACCTGGATATATTTGGGGGCCATTCATCCCCCCACACCATTCCCCTACTACAACTCCTGTCCCTATTAGACCTTTCTGCCTGTCAAGATCTTTCCCATTTGACTGCTTAAATCAAGCAAGGAACAGTCATCCCATGGAACACTGCGCACCGTTAAATACTGCACAGTCATTAGTAATGGTGAGAGAGAACAGTAGTCTGATCTGGAATGTGTTCATGATCGAGGAGCTCCTGTGTGATCTGAAGTTTTATTTAAAATACAGGCAAATTTATCTAGAAAGAGGAGCAATGTGACACGTGATGAAAATCACATACTCTGGAGCCAAGAGATCTAGGTTCATATCCTGCCTCTGCCAATTACTAGCCGTGTGACACTGCTTAACCTTTCTGATGCCTCGGTCTCCTCGTTCATAAAATATCTGTACGTACCTCATGGGGATGTTGTAAGAATTAAGCGAGGTAGTGTATGCAAAGAGCTTAAAACAGTGCTTGCCACAAAACTGTTAGATAAATAAATATATATTTATTACATATAAAATATAAATATAGATGTACTATATGTAGGCTACATAAAAAATAAACTGGAAAGCTACACTCCAAAAAGTCATTAAGTGGGTAAATCTATGGGTGGTAGAATGGTGAAAAATTGGTATCTTTTTGTTTATCTGCCAGTTCTATTTATGTACCATGGACATTATTTGCATAATCGAGGTGAAATGTAAAATTCTGACAATCTAACAAACGAGCAAAAGCAAACTGGAAGTCTCCCAATCCTTGGAGCCCAGCCGTGGCTCACCCTCCCCAGGGAGCCCTCCTGACTCCCAGGGAGGAGGGGGTCTCGCCATTCTCAAGACCCCTCCTCCCTTCTTACTTCCTGGAGCTCTTGGACCCTCCCCAGGGAGCCCTCCTGACTCCCAGACCCCTCCTCCCTTCTTACTTCCTGGAGCTCTTGACCATGAGTTCTGGGAGCTCAGTTGGGAACAGAGCAGGGAGTGTGTCCCGAGAACAGACAGTAGACTTCCAAGGGCTTGCCCAAGGAAGGGCAAGGATGGGGCTTGCCCAGGGTCACAGCAGGCAGTGGCAGTGTTCTCACCGCAGGCCTTCTGCCACCGTCAAGGCCATAAGGGCATGCCGTGACCTAAGCATGACCAGGGTGGGGCAGTGGTTCCTGGCTTGAGGCCCTTTCTCCATCTTCAGACCCTTGCCTGCTAAACCCATTTTACAGATGGGCAAATAGTCCCTAGGTAATGCAGACTGCCCAGGGAAATTGCCATCCGGGAGTTGGCCACAAGGCGACAGCATCAGGCCTTGGTTCCATCTCAGGGCTTCGCAACCTCTACCGCCCTCTGGTGGTTCTGAGAAAACACGCCCCGGGGACCAGGCCAAGGAATGTGTGAGAAATCTGAAGCAGGGTTCTCTCACCTCTTCCCGGGGGATTTGAAATCCTCGGTGATCGGCGGTCGCCTGGGGTTGACTAGCCAGTCTCCAGCCCCAGTCACAGAGATCGTGTCTAGCTAGCACAGTCCTTGGACATTTCATTAAGGGGACCATTCAGTAGAGGGTGAAGGAGACACAAGTATGCTCCTCCGTGCCTGCAGCAGCCCCAGGGAAAAAATGCCCCGTTAGGATCCAGGCCGCTGGCCCCAGCATGGGTCAGCCACCAGCGGTATCCTCCTCTGTGAAATGTGGAAACAGGAGAAAACATCTCTGTGACATATGAAAACAGAGAGAGGGGAGGTGGCTGGTGGCTGGGGTCCCCTCTGCACCTACGGCTTCCTTAGCCGGACTGGGCCTCAAGGGGAAGCCAGGGTGGGGATCATAACTGGGAGGCTGACAGAAGGAGCAGAAAGGGCAGGGGGCACAGGGTGGGGCTGTGGCAGTGAGAGCCTGGCCACGATGTCATGGACAGGTGGACACCTTGTCCCAAGCCGGGCACATCAGATGTTTCCTTAGGGAAACTTGGCACTGATACAAAGGCAAGGTGAGCCTGTCTCCCTGAGCAGCTGGAGAGGCACCGAATAACCCTGGGCGAGGTCTGAGGATGGCAGGAAGAGCCTGGCTGTGAAGGGAAGGGGAAGTGGGGTGGGGACGGGAGGGACACGGGGCAGGCCCTCCCTTGGGGCCCCACGGTGCTCCTGGCCTACTTCCTGCCCTGCTGAGGGAGGCCCTGGGATCCAAGGCCACCCCAGGCCCCTGGAGCAAAGTCCTCTTGGGACTTAAGGCCCAACCAGTAAAGCAGGGATAACATTCTGGGCACAGCGGTGGCTCTGGGGCCCCTCATACCTGTTGGCCTCTCAGTGGCAGGCTCCATGTTCCTCATGCCACAGGCCACGGCTTCCCTCCTTCCTCCCACAGCCCCTCATGCTCGACACTCCCAGGGGGACAGGAAGGGGGAGCCTCATGGTGCTCGACACAGGCCTGGCCAGTGGGCTGTGGTGCCTATGTGCCGTGGACACTCTGCAGCCATCAAGAACGAGCCATTGTGACATATGCTGACTGACAGGAACGAGAACAAGCAGGTGGTGAGCAGCCCTGCGGGAGAAATAGGCCTCCAGTTCCAGATGCTACGCTGTCTGCCCCCAGAGCGTTCACCACGCTGCCGCCTCATCTGAATGCTCACTGCCACGTGGGACAGGCATTGTTTTTGTTTTTAAAAGTTATAAAGAATAAAAATTAAAAACTCTCCCGAGTGGGTCTGGAAGGGTTGCCCGGTCACCCCCAACAGGGAGGACCCAGTGGATGGAGTTGGGTGCACTGGCCAGCCGTGGTGGGCCACCGCGCCCCTCATCTGCCAAAAGCAGGGACTAGAGACCCCAGCCCGGGCACCCTGCTCAGAAGGGGGTTCCACCCACAGCCCCCTCACTCCCAGAGCTGGCTCCTCCGTATTGCGCCCGTCACAGTGTCCACCCCTGTGAAATCCCAGGCCTGGGACCGAAGCCTGAGGGTGGCCACCTGCTGCCAGGGGGGCCGTGGAAGGTGCTGCACTCTCAGAGCCTCGGTGTCCGGAAATGACTCCAGCCCTGCCCAGCCCGACATCCTTCCGCGCACTTGACCCACGGCTTCTCATCAAACCCTCGCAACTTCCCGGTGAGGTAGGGGCTAGCGTTATGCCCACATGACAGGCGAGGAAACCGAGGCCGAGGGGCACCAGCACCCAGAGTCCCCGTCTGTCCCTCAGAGACCGCACCCTGGGCCATCTCTGGGCCTCCCTGCTGGTGTCCTAGGGATTATGTGACAGGAGGCCTGCTAAGCCTTTTGCCCCAGGCCTGAAAGCTCAGTAACAGTGGACGAACAGTAGTCACCAGGAGGGCTGGGCCCCATCCCAAGCCGCCCGGACCGGCGGCCACGTGCAGCTCCAGCCACAGACCTCACCGCAGCACCGCCATGAGGGGAGCGGCCACCTTTATTTCAAACATGTCACAGAGTCCTGGGAGCATTTGGAAAGAGCAGCTGAGGATAGGGCTCTCCCTAAACCGGAGTGCCCCTGCTTCCCTGGTCCAGGAAAGGTGCCCAGCCCAATCCCCAGCCACAGGGCACAGGCAGGGCAGCCACCTAGGGCCCTGGAGAACAGCTGGAGAGCAGGAGGCAGGGGGAGGAGGAGGGCGGTGGCAGGTAGCCCCTCCGAGCCCCTCGGGGGCTGTGAAGGGAACTGGGCCTGGGCCTCGTCCCTCAGTGTCCCAGAACCCTAGCAGGTGTCCCGTGTGAGAAGCAGAGAATGCTGGGGGCATGGGGCGGGCAGGAGGCAGAACGCTCCCGTCCTCACCCCTGCACAGCACTGCTGCGTGCTGGCTCGGCGGCCCGGGTCCCTGGCGGCCCACGTCTGCTGGATCCCAGTTCCTCTCAGTGGGGAGGCTCGGCTCACTGGGGGGCCTCGGCGATGGCCTTCTCCACCCGCAGGTACCAGGGCTGGATGCGGGTGTGACGCATCAGGTCGTCGAAGGCCTCCAGGCCCTCCATCACGCGCAGCACGCCATACACCGCCTGCAGTGGGTATGGAGCGGGCGTCCAAACCCGCCCCAGCGGCCACGTGCCCTCCCTTCCGTGAGAGCTCCCAGGCGGGCTAACGGGCTGCTTCCCCTCACGGGGCTTTAAAGGAGATGTGCAGGATGGCTGAGGCTTCGCCTGCCCCACGTCCACACTCTCCTTCTGGACGACCCCCTCCCCCCCTCACTCTCAGGTCCTGAGACCTCCCCCAGCGCCCAGCTGAGACCTGGGCCACCGATCAGCGTGTCCCACCCGGGCTGCGGGAATACTTCCCAATGGAATTGGCTGGGGTAACACCACTTGAGCCCCTGAATCCAGCCGGGCCTGAAGCCAACGCCTCCATTAAACTTGTCAGTTATGGGAACCAAGACAGTTTCTTGTAGCTGGTTTTCCTTAAGGCCCTGACAGCAGATGGAGCCAGGGGCCTCTGAGGTGGGGAGCCGGGAGATGTAGTCCACATCTTTCCCAGCCTGGGCCTCTCTGACCCCAAAGACAGGCCCCTCAGTCGGGCACCCCCGCCACCACCACACTCACCAGATCAGCTAGGTTCGGCCTCTGGCCCCCCATGAAGGGCCGGTCTTTGCCCACGGCCGCCACCCACTTGTTGGCAGCCTCATAGAGGTCCTTGCGCACATCATCCTGGAGGTGGTGCCTGGGCGGGGATGGGGGCAGTCCATCAGGGGATCCCCAACCCGGCCCAGGAGGGGACAGCGGGCAGGCCACCATGAGCACACACATGCACACGCGTGAGCCGTCACCTGCTCTTGAGTCGCTTGCTGATGAGGTACATGGCGGCTGCACCCAGGTACTTGGCCACAGCGCCCTCCATGGCCCCGAACTTGCCCTCCCTGACGATGTAGTCAAAGGAGGCCAGGGCCTCGGCCGGCGTGCGGTACACGTTGGGGGAGATCAGGTGCACCAGCCAGTCGTCCGCCCACTGCCGCCACTTCATCTCTTCCCTGCAGGCAAGGGGACAGAGGGGCAGGCCAGCTGGGCTTCCCAGGCCAGCGCCTGGAGGTGGGGGAGCAGCCCTACTGTCTAGACGCCCAGCGTACGGACGGGAAGCTGAGGCTAAGCAGCAGGTCCTCACGCAGACTCAGCCCAGGCTGCGGCTTGGCCCCAGCCCCGTGCTCTCCCACACTGCTGTCCCCTCAGAGTGCCTCGCTCGGCCGGGTCCCCTCTGGGGAAGACGCCCCAGCCCTCGTCGCCACCCCCGGGCCAGCCCCAGCCGCACTCACGTCCTGGCCTCCTTCCCACCATACAGTCGCTGGGCCTCCTTCTCGTCCAGCATGAGCCAGTACTTGTTGCAGAACTCGGTGACCTCCTTGCCCTGGTCATTTATGGCCTTCATGGGTGGGTAGTAGGTGATGATGTCTTCCAGGGGATGCCTTCGAGAATCATCCGGAGTCTCACCCCCGCTCCCTCCTCCTCCAGGAGACTGCGCCCTCACCTCCGTGGGGTGACTATCCACCCCTGCCCGACCTAGCCCTGGGGTGCAGCCAGAACCAACCCGCAAAAGCTTTCCACCCTCTGGTGGGTGACACAGGAGGTCCTGGGGCAAGGATGTGGGGCCGGCGCTGGGAGCACTCCCCTGACAGAAGGGGATGTGCCGAGAGGAAGGGAGTCTCAGAGCAGGACGCCCATGGCCCATTCTGGAAATGTGAGAAGCAGCCCCACCCTGCCCCCATGCAGGAACTCAGGTGAGGTCTCCCTGGAGACAGAACAAAATGGGATGCCTGTCTGGCCTCCGGGGGCTCCTTACCCCGACACCAGGTAGGTCTTGAGGGCGCTGATAATGACAGAGGAGTCGTTCAGTTGTTGCTGGAGGAGAGGTAGGTTTGAGTCGTGTGTAGGGGGCTGATAGGCCCAGAAGGGCCACAGGGGCCAATAAACACCACCGATGCCCAGGCATCCCACAGAAACCAGTGGGGTGGAACCAGGGGACTGTTTACCCACCCGTGGGGGTTTACCCCGAAAACCGATGCCCACTGAGCTCTCCCCTTCCCGCCCCCCAAGATACAGTCCCCACTCCCAGGGTGGCCCAGAGTAAGGGAGACCCAAGTGTGGCCGATGGGGAGGAGGGCCTGGGGAGCATCCAGGGTCTGGGCCTGCCCATCCACCCACCCGACCTCCTCGGCACTGAGGGGCAGGGTGGACTCCAGAAGCTGCATACTAGGAGCCAAGCACTGTGCCAGGCACCCCTACAACGCAGAGAGTATGTTGGTTGGTGAAGAAAGAAGCCCAGAGTGGCTAAGTGACTGGCCCCAAGTCACAGCCAGTGAGGGACAGAGCCACACCTTGAACCTCGGCCACCCTGATTTCAGAACCTGCATCGTAAAGCTCGGTGGTGCTCTGCCTTCCTTAGACCAGGCTGGTGTTTGGTGTTGGTGGGGAAGGATGGCAGCCTGCTTTTATTGAGCATCTACTGTATACCAGCTACTTTGCCCTCATAATCCTCAGCTGAGGCTGAGATCTCAGTTCCTCCCAGGGCTGCAGAGCAGGGCCCAACTCGGGGGTACTCTAGGACAACTCAGGGCATGGTGGGGGGGCTCTCGAAGCTCACCAAGCTGTCTCCTTCCTGGGCCAGTAGGATAGGCACCTTCCTGTAGGAGGAGAACTTGATCTCGGCCCTACGCACGGGATTCACCTCCACCACCTCGTAGGGCAGCGCGTGAAAGTCCAGGAAGGCACGAACCTTGCTGCAGAAGGGACACGTTTTGTACTGGTAGAGGGTCAGCTGCAGGCGGCCGGACAGGGAGAGCTGGCGGGGAGCAACGGCAGAAAGGCTTCTGAGGCCTGGTACCCAGACCCAAGGGAACACCAGACATCCCCAGGTGTGCCCTCCCAGATGCACAGCAATTGCTTCAACTCAGAGTGCCCATGCCACTCCCCCAATCCCAGGGACTTCTGGGTGAGGGGGCAGAGCTGGGCTACAACCTAGCCAGGGGCCCAGCATTGGCCAGGGTGGGGTCTACCTCAAATCTCAAACATCTGGACTGCAAGCCTGAATGCTGCAGGATCCGCAGGAAAGCCCCAAGTGAGCCTGCTATACATTCATGTTTGAAAGTCACAGCTGTTGTCCACGGCCCTCAGGGTTCGCATGGGAACCTGAGTCTGGACCAGTGGAGGTGGGCAGGGAGGAGCGAAGAACTCCACTTCCTGTCAACCACCCGTCACTCCGAGTTCAGAAGAAAGCACCTGTGGGTGGGTGGTGGAGGTGGGAGCAAAGAACAGCCGTGCTGGTGCTGTTTATAAAGCATTGCAAAGGCAGTTGGGCCACCTGCTGGCTCCAGGGACACTTCCGTGACCTCCCTGTCTCGGGGCCTGGAGTCTAAGGGTCATTGGTTTCATAAAAATACTACTAATAATACTAATACATACACAACCATGGGATTTGGGGATGATGAGAGGGGGCCGACAGAATGTCATAGTGGCCTGGGGAGCATCCAGGGTCTTTCATAGTGGCTTTTCCTTTTCTGTGATCTCCAAACCTTCCCATTAAAAAGTCTTAAGACAAGTTAGAAAAACGACTCTAAGACAAAGACAACTATTCCAGTTAGCAGGCATCAGCAAGGGCCCCATTTCACAGATGAGGACGCTGAGGGCTCAGAGACAAAATCAAGTCACTTGCCCAAGGTCACAAGCGATTGCAGGAGGCGATTCCTGACCCCGCGGCTTCCCAGAAGTCCCAAAGTTCGGCGCTGACCCCAGTTCCCCAAACCCTGGCTCGGTCCAGCCCAGGCTTACCTGCGTGGCTGGAAGCTCGGCGCGGAGATCCTGGGCACGCAGGTGCCACCGCGCGGTGTAGTACACCCCCAAGGCGCCCCCCAGGGCCAGCGCCGCCGCCCCCAGGAGCTGCGGGCTCCGCTTGTGAGTGCTGGCGGCTGGGCTCGGGCCTCCCGTCGCCCCCGCGAAGCCGGCCGGGTTCTGAGCCAGCAGTCCGGGCGCCGGTCGACCACCCAGCCTCCAGGACAGAGCGCGCCCGCTGGGCCACAGCGCCCGTGCAGCCACAGCCATGTTCGCTCTGCCGGCGCCGCGGGCGGGCGTGCAAAACGAAGATCGCCTGGCTTAGGCAACCCTTAAAAAGCTGGGTCTCCGGCACCCCGCGGGTTGCCAGGGGTGACAGTGACACCGCGCGGAGAGGAATAGCCTTCGCGGGTTTGGGCGTGCATGCTTGGCGCCCAGCTTTCATTCACTCGGCAGAGTCGCAGAAACACCCTCGGGGATGTCTGGGAGTCGCTAAATGACCCTGTTTTTGAACTTGTAGATGTAACGGGTCTCGGTGGTGACCCCAGACGAATGCAAGGAATACTCGGGCACTAGCCCGGGCTCGGCCACGTAGCTCCCTGTGTGGTCTTTCAGCCTCAATGTCATCCGTAATATCTCGTTAGTCATTTCTACCTTGTGCTCCCAGTCGAAAGAGACTGAACCCTTCGGAGTGTCAGGGAAAGGGTCATGAGTTCGGGTCCTTGAGGGCCGCGGAAACGGCCCGACCCGACCCACAGGAGGAAGGCGTCAGCAGCTCGGGCTCTTTCTGCCCTCCCGCACCGCTGCACCGTTTCTGCTATGGCCTGAACCATAAAACTTTCTTTACAGTTTGGGGACCTTAGAAACCACGTGTTTCGGATTTCGACCACGCGGAAGCTCCGGCTCGCCCACCCGCACGTCCCCAACGGCGGGATGGAGCAAAATGGGGGTCCCAGGCTGCCCCCGCCCCGCTGCCGGGCTCGCTAGTCGGAGATGAGGCCCGGAGCCACCACCACGGCCTAGGCTTCTCGGCGGGCAGCCCTGGGACGACACCGCCCAGCGACAGCGAGAGGGGGCGGTGCTCGGGGAGGGAGCGGAGACCCGAAGGCGGGACAGGTTGTGGGCGGGGCTCTGCTGGTCCGACCTTCCCGAGAGTTGACCCGGCTCGGGGCGTGGGGGCGGAGCCTGACGGCGGACGGGGCGGAGTTCTGGCATGGGGGTGGGGCTCTGGCCTCGCGGCCGGGGCCTTAGGTGCAGCCCAGTGCTGTTCTGCCCCGCGTCTGTACGGGAGATGGTCACTGCATTCCATCTTCGCGCTGCCCTTCGGCGCCCGAGCCCGTAATGTCTGACCCGGACGGGGACGCGGGCATGCCAGTGGAGGCGGGCGCAAAAGGCGAGAACGATGGCTTCAGAGAAGCAGGTGACTCAGGGGGTTGCGGAAGCGACTTTCGCTTTCTCAGGGGAATCTTCCTGGGAAGGGGAATCGGAGCCGGGATAGGGGCTTGAAAGGGACCGCAGAGCCCTGTCCACTCCGCGCCGCTGGATGGGTTGCAGCTACAGGCGCCGTCTTGGGGTTCAGGGAGATGCCCTGCGAGTGGGTCCCTGGAAACCGCAGCATTCGAGAACTGTGAGCAGCCGTCCCCGTTTTACAAATGGAGACACTGAGGCAGATTCAGGGACACTCGCCCTTTTGAAATTTGCTCAAAGCACTTCGTTTAGCCCCTTTATAGAAGGTGGCGCTTATGAGGGGGCGGGGCCGGTGGATCTTGGCTCAGCAGAAGGCGCCGTCAAGGTGGGCTCGCTCGCCCTGCTGAGTCAGCATCCCCAGTCACCTTTTCCGGTGTGGCCTGGAGCCCTGGCGAACGTGACTTGCTTACAGAGCAGCCAATTTCGTGCACAGCGGGCGTGGAGGTAGGGGTGGAGTGGAGGAGTGTGACGAGAGAACCATCAGCTAGCTCCCTTTTCACCTTCTCCAGCCCATTTCCCCATCTGTAAAATAGGAATAATGATTAGTGTCTCCTGCACCGAGATGTGTCAGGATTAAATAGGAAAATGAATGGGCAAAGGCTGGCGGCTAGGGAGTCTAGTGAGCCTTAGAGACTCCTATTTTTTGACCACCTGGCAGCTGCTCTAGCTTTGCCAAATATAGGAAGGCAATCCAGTGACCAAAATGCTTGACAAAGTTCTCCTTTTGTCCTCCTGGCCAAGGTTGGGCAGGACATTAGGGCAGGCTCATGCCTCTTGGCTTGCCTGTTAAGGGTGGAAAATTTTCAAGTGAGCGAACTAGCTAAGTCAGCTACAGGGAAGAAATATCTTTAGATAGAAGTTGTCCTACTTGCTTGTGTGTGGTTTAGGAAGTGTATTGTATAAAATATGTAGATGGCCAATGTCTGCTTCTGTAATCCATTTACTTGTTAATTAAGGGTGTTGTTCCGGGCAAAGATATGCTAAAAGCCAACTTCCACTTCTGTAATCTGCTGGCTTGTTCAGGAGACCACCAGGATATGGTCTTGAGCTTTATCAGCTGCCTGCTCTGAAAGCTCGGGGCTGATCTCCTCTAGCCCTGCGTGGTAGAGTCGCCGGCCGGCTAATAAAGGCTCATAATTAATCTCAATTGGCTCCTTGGGTCTCAGAATCGTTCGCGCCATAACATTGCCCAATCCAGTGCTTACAGCTCTTGATCCCTATACTGCCTCTTCCTTATGCATTCTCAGGGGCCTCCTGTCTGTGGCCAGCATTAAGCACAGCCCTGCTTAATGTCCATGGGACCTCAGGGCTGGGGAAGCAGCTGCAGCTGAGCTGATGGAGCCCTAGGCACAAGTCTGAGCAAATCCCAGGCATGGCTGTGCTCTTCTTCCCTATTGCTACTATTGCTGCGTGATGTCAGGGGACAGGTGGCTGAGCCCCAGGGTTCTCACACCGAGGAGAGGAGGAAGCTCTGTCCAGGCATAGCCTAGATTCTGCCAGCCCATGAGGCCTGTTCCAGGCTACAACTTCTGTGACCTGCCCTCTATATCTGCCCTGAGTGGCCAGTCTCTCCTGGACACATGCCTCTCTGTGGCTCTGTGACTCCATCTCTCATTTTTCTTCTGTTAAAAAACAAAACTCAGCTGAGTCAATTAAATAACAAACTGGCTCTATTCAACGATTCATGATTAGGCAGCATCACATCTAGCAAATAGAAAAGAGCTCTGAAGAGTTGGGAGACTTTTAAAGGCCGAAGAAGGCAAGGACAAGGAAGGAGTATTACTGCTACTGACCAGGAGATTCCAGACTGACCCAGTTAAAATTACATTTCTGGGGAAGGTTGAAACTGCAGTTAGGTTAGGTGTTAGCTTAGGTACTGAGGCTGGTGATGTGGGCTTAGCACAAGTGACTCCATTTGGGACCTGTTGTCTCTTCTTTAACAGGCCCCCCCGGACATGCTTCCCTGTCTCCTTGATCCTCTATTCTGCAGCCCTGCCTCTTACGAATCTGGTTTCTCAGGATTCAGTCTTGGCCCTTCTAGGCCTCGTGCACACAGCCTCGGCTACCTCTTCCCCACCGTGGTTTCTGTACCATCTGTTTCATGAATGCCCAGCTAGTGGCTTCAGGTCAGCCCTATCCTGACTCCAGCCTGGGTTTACAACTGCCTCTTGGACAGCAAGATGTCCCGCAGGCACCCTACCTCAATCCGGGCACCTCCACCCAACTGGCCACTTTCCCATCTAACCACTTTCTCCTCTTCGGCTCCTGCCTTCGTTGGCAAGGGAGAACCCAGGAGTCCTGCCAGCCTCTGTAACACCCCATTAGGTTCTACCCAAGTGTCTCTTTGCCCTTATCCAGAATCTACTAAAGAGATGAATCTCAGAACAGTTAGGCTGAATGATAGAGACCAGGCAATACAGATTATATACCATTTGGTTCCATGTATATAAAACTAGAAAATGCAAACATGTGACAGAAAGCAGATTGGTGGTTGCCTGGGGGTGGGGTAGGGATGTGAGGTGGGGAGGACAGAAGGGGCATGAGGAATCTTGGGGGTGATGAATAGGTCTACTGTCTTGATTGTGATAATGGTTTCGTGACATTTATATGTGTCAAAACTTATCAAATTGCTCAAAAACCACAATGAAAGGAGGTTGTCAAAAGGACCCGGCTGGAACAATTTGATCAACAAAATAAAGGAATATTGGATTATAACCCAAAGTATAAAATAAATATCCATGAGCCGTACAGATAAATGATTAAATTAATAAATAAATGGGGAGAAGAGAAATCTCCCATGCAGAAGAATTCCAAACTCTGTAGACACCCTGTTTTTTAGAAGATGGAGTAAAACTCCCGCTCCGTAGGTCCGGGCTGAGCAGAATGACTTCCTTCCCTCGAGGACAGTATGCAAAGGAGAAAGAAGAGGAATTTTGCAGGGGAGACACCTGACCACACACCTCAGCCAGGTGATCAAGGTCAGTATCAGCTGTGATCAGTCACATGGAAATATGTGCTCTTGATATGATATGATGAAAATGGCACTTCACCTTTGTGGTCTTCCTCCTAAACCCGTAACCCCAGTCTAATTATGAGAAAAACACCCAACAGGTCCAAGTAGAGGGATATTCCACAAAATATCTGAGCAGTACTCATCAGAATTTTCAAGGAAGGTCATGAAAACCAAGGAATGTCTGAGAAAGTGTCGGAGCCCAGATGAGCCTAAAGGAGACATGACAACTAAATGTAACATGGGGTCCCAGATGGGATCCTGGAACAGGAAAAGGACATTATCTGAAAACTAAGGAAATCTGAATAAAGTATGGACTTTAGTTAATAATGCATCGATAGTGGTTTGTTAATTGTAATGAATGTGCCGTTCTAAGATGTCGTAGTAATAAGGGAAACTGGATGCAGGATATGTGGGAACTCTGCAAACTATTTTCACACTTTTTCTATAAATCTAAAATTTTTTCAATTAAAGGTTTATTTTTAAAAACTTGTCAAATTGTGCACTTTGAACGTGTGCAGTTATATTACATTCTTTTTGCAGGAAGATTCATTAATAACCGACTTAATTTCTGTGATGGTTGTAAAGCCATTCAGACTTTCTTTTGCTTCTTGAATCCATTTTGGTGAGTTACAGTTTTCTGAGAAATTTCCCATTTCATTCCTATAGCATTCTCTTACCCTTTTAATGTCTATAGACTATAGTTATAACCCTTTTTTTTTTCGTCTACTTCTGCTTATTTATGCCTTATAGCTTTCTGTCTTGAGAAATTTTTCCGAATTTCTACCTACGTTATTTTCCCCAAGAGTCAACTTTTGGCATTGATATTCTTGTTACATATCTTCCTTTCCATTTTATTAATTTCTGCTCTTTATTTCCTCCTATTTGGATTTATTCTGTGGTTTCTTTTCTAAATATTTACTTTGGACACTTTGCTCATGGCTTTGCAGCCTTTCTTATTATAAAACACACACTTAAGGCCCCTTGTCCATTGTGAGCCTAATGGAGCATGAAGAGTCTGTTTCTTGCTAGATCTGCTTGTCTGGTGGAAGGGGGCCCTTCAGAGTGTCCAGACTGCTGTTCAGCCAGGATTGCCTCTCAAATGGCTCCTCCCCAAGGTCCCCTCGGCACCACTGGAAGACGGGGGGGCACCGCTTTCTGCCTGCCCTTGCAGCCCCTCCGAGGCAGCCTCCCCCTCTCTGGAGCGCTGCTTCAGGAGCTGATCCAGCCCATCCCTTGCCTTTTGGCTTTTCTTGGCTATGGTCTGACTCCACAAGCCCCAAGATCAGAAGTCAGCCCGCGCCCCACCCCACCCCCCGCCCACATTCCCCAGGAGTTCTCTAAAATCGCCCTCACTGAGCAGGAGCTAGGGGAAGCACCTCCCTCCCTGCCTGCTCCCAGTGAGGGTAATTGATAGATAGAAAGGAAGGGCTCAGCACAGGGAAGGGCAGAACCCTGAGGACCTCGCATGCCAGACCAGGCCCTCTGGGGTAGCTCTTTCCCACCGCCTTTGATATTTAATACTAACCACCGAGCCTACAGGAACCCTGAGCCACACAGGGAGGGGAGCCAATGCTGGAAGGACAAGGCTCCCATGCTTCAGCTACAGCACCAGGCAGGGCACCCAGGATCCCTGCCTGGGACAGACCTGAGCCCTGACACTTCTCAGCCAGGGAGACTAAGGGCTCTCAGAAGCGAGGCTACAGCTGCCTGCACAGGCCAAGCCACCTGGGGCCCAGGGCCCCTTCTGAGACGAACCCAAGTCCCTCTGAGCAAGTCCGGGGTTGTGGGCGGCCCAGAACAGGTGGGGCTTCCGGCATGGGGAGAAGGGGTCCAGGTGGGTCAAGCGGACTATGATAGACTGAAAAATGGCCTCAAAAGACAATCATGTCCTGATTCCGGGAATGTATGATGTGACTTTTATTTGGAAACAGAGTCTTTGCAGATGTGATTATGTTAAGGATTTTCTTTATTACCTTTTCTTTATTACGTTTTTAAAATTTCATAAAGATTAGTGTCCTGATGCCTGGTTTTTAAGATGTGTAAATTAAATGTGTGTGTGTTACTCTCTTCAGAAAAAAAAAAAACAAAAAAGCTATTTCTTTCTTTTGGTATGGCCCAGATTTTTCCCTTTCCTGAAGATCAACAGTATTCAAATTCCTGATTCATAATAAAATAGAGTGCATTCTGTTTTCAAATATCTAAGAGAAGAATAAAATTATAAAAAGAATAAAATTTCACAACTCACCAAAATTTTAATAGCGGAAGACAGGTATTGTAAACTAATGGTTAGCCTTTCCCTTTTTCTTGTCATTTAACCTTTCCAGCATCTACTACCCTGCCCCCTGGGCTGGGCACTCTCTTGGGCACTCAGGGGACAAAGGAGAACCAGCCTTTCAGGAGAGCCGGACCCGTCCTCACACAAGCCACCAGCAGAGGCCCAGCCAGGGGCCCAGGGAGCAAGGACCCAGGCATGGCCGAGGTGGAGATGCCCTCTGCTGGGGTGCTGGGAGCCACAGCCCAGGCAGGAGAGGGGTGCAGAGCTGGGAGGAGCAGGCCTATGATAGCACAACCTGCTGGACACCTGGAGCCCACTGCAAACCCTGCTCAGAGCACTGGCCTCCAGCCACCTTGTGGTCATCAAGGGCCCTCTCACCTGCACGGGTGAGTCTGTGCCCCAGCGTGAAAGGAGCAACCATTCTAAGGGACATACTTGGGCCAGGCACCCGAGGACCAGAACTGGGAGACAGCCTTGGACCCAGACCTGCTGCCCCTGCCCAGTGGACCCCCAGGATCTCCCCAGGGGAAGGAATCCAGTGGGTATTTGGTGGGGGTGTCATCTATCAGCATTTCCACAGGAAGGGTTCCCATCAGGTGGAAGGTGCAGGAGCCAGGAAGTCCTCAAGTGAGTCCTGGTGAGCCCGGGCATGAGACATGGGGCCTGGGGGCTGGAAAGCTGCTTCTGGAAATGAGAGAATCCAGCCACGACCCTCACAGAGCAGGCCTCCCTGCTCCCGAGTGTTTGGACCTGCGGCAGCTAGGGAGAGCCCATACGTGGACACCAAGGGTTTCTACAGCCATGACTGGCCTGGGGCATCTCCGTGGAAGCTTCTCCCCGGTGTGGCCCCGAGCTCCAAGAAGCCTAGTTACCGCCTGCCTGGGGACCTCTTGCCCAGCCCTTCAAGCAAGTCAGAGGCCATTGCTATTGCCCCAACCTTTGCAGCTGGCTGAACACCACTCATAAGCATCCGGAAACCAGTCCAGGGGGTTGGACTGGATTCCTGAGATGCAGTAAGTACAGAGAACACTTTGCTGCCTTCCTGATTCAATTAGACCAGGGTGGGGCCTGGGTCCCTGTGTGGAAAGCCAGGCCACTGTAGTCCCTGGGAATTTCTCCTCTTGGTCATGTGGAGTGGGAAGGGCCACCAGCCAGAGACAGTGAGGGGTCTGGAGCAGCCAGAGTTCTGGCTTCTTGCCACAGAGAAACCAGGTGTGGATGGTGTTTTAAGTGCCTGCCATTGCTAAAGGGATGTAGAATGGGACTCAGAAAGCCCAGCCCTGTCTTCTTCTGTGTGGCTTGTGGCCTCACTAGGGACATTTACATCTCTGAGGGAGAGGGAGAGGGAGAGGGAGAGGGAGGTCATTGGGTGGTCCTGTAGGAGCAGCCTGGGGCCGCAGTGAAAATCGAGAGCGGGGCCAAGTGCATGGCGTGCCCCACACAGTGCCACACATTCTGAGAGCTTCGGGGCTCAGGGACTGCCCCCAGCTCTGGGCAGAGTGAATCCGAGAGTCTCCTCCTTGAACAAGGGCCCAGACCTAGTAGGAAAGGAGTGGACCAGGAGTGGGGCCACCAGGGTCCTGTCCAACCTGGAGCCCTTGGAGTCAGCCCAAGTCCAAACGAGTCTACTCCACGGTCCTCATACAACCCTCGTGTGGGAAGTGTACGTGCTGAGCTGACCCGCTCCTCGAAGCCCTGCTGGACTCTGAGCAGTGTGGGCAGAGAGTTTTTACCTTTATCCCCAGCCCAGCCTGCAGGACCCCTCCCTTCTCAGGCAGAATGCAAGAAGCACCCTTGCTGATCCCATGCCCTCCAGCTCCAACCAGCCCAGCACCCACCTCTGGTTGGCTGAGATCAGGCACGGCTTGGCCTGACCTCTGCCCCAGCCATCACCGTGACTCTCCTTGGACCCTTGTTGGTTCACAAACTGGCCCCTGTACACAGAGAGCAAGAAGAAAGCAAAGAAGGAGGCAGGCCTCTCCAGATCGGTAGGTGGCAGTTTCAAGAAGCAAGGGAACTTGCTTATGAGGCTTGTCTTAGGCGCCATAAGACAAGTAGATCTCCACGCCCACCTGCCAGAATCTTAAAGTTGACACTGAGGCCTTAATGGGGTTCCGTCACGTGTACCATCCAGGTAGTCCCAACGATGCAGTGCTCTTTCAAGGCTGCGTGCTTGAAAACAACACCCACTGTGAGAATGGAGGGCAGAGCGTAGCTTCAAGGACAGGAGAGGTGGTGAGGAGCCTCCAGCGGCCTGGGTCCAGCTCGAGGATAACTTGTGGTCACATCCTCTCAATAACCTTCTCCAACACCACCCACAAGGCATGGCTGGGACACTGCACACTGCTGAGGCTCAAATCCCTAAGTGAGCCTCGTCCCCTTCACTCATCCTCTCCCTCAGCTCCTGGACCAGCCTGACCTCCAGGACTGGGCCAGGAGGGAAGGCAGGAGGCAGCCAGGTAAGGAAGAAGTGATGAGATAGCCACGGCCAGGTGTCAGCCAAGGCCAAGACCACACACAGACGAGGTCAGAGAGACAGAGAAGAGGAGGGTGGGTCTGGACAGGCCTGGAGCCAGCACAGAGAAGCATGGGCCCTGCGTGGGTTTAGTCAGAAGCAGAGATGACATCATGTGGAGATACCCCACGTGTGTGTACCTGGCACTGCGTACGCATGGCCTCGAAGAATCTGTAGCGTAGCTCTCTTTACAGAGGGGGCACTGATGGGGATTAGGGGTGGGCAGAGACTTGCAGGCTTCTCCCCTCCTCTTCCTCCTTCACCGCCTACCTGGCCCAACAGCTGCCCAACTTCTTCACCCTGAAATCATGCCCCTAGGTCTGGCCTCACCCTACTGGGGGCCCTGCAGATCCAAGCCCAGAACTCCATCCCAAACTGATCCCAGCCCCTCCTCTGCTCAGGGTCCCACTGCAGCCGAACTTCCAAGGTGACCAGGTAAGGGCCTGGAGCGGCAGCTGTGGAGAGGATTCCAACAGGTACCTGTGAGCTGGGCCGTCTCCCCTCCTGCACCTGGCCCTGGTTTTCTCATGCTGCAGACCGGCCTTACCCCACTCCCCAGTTCATACCAGAAAGCACTGGCCACCCTACCCCCTGACTCTCAGAGTCTAGAATATTCTATCCGGCAACTCCTTAGTGTTTCAGGGGAATGCCCCTCCCCTAGTTAAAAGTCTTTGGGGCTCTGTCAGTCTCCCCATATTCAACAGTCACCACAGGCTCCAACATACCTTTTAAGGTCAATGAGAGTAGCGGGGGTGGAGCCCCTGGGCCTGCCGTGGGGATGAGGGTGGGGGTGGCCGCTGGCACCTCTGAAGGACACATGGGCTGTCATGGCAACATAGTCCCCTGAAGTTGGTTCATCACCACTTCCTGCCCTTTCATCACCCAGACTGGCAGGCAGGGCAGGGCCTGAGGGGGCTTCTGTATCAGGATGGCCGAGGCTGTGTCCTACACACCAGCTCAGGACCCTGGTCAAAATCCTTTCTCTCGAGACTCCCAGGCTGGGGGTGCTGGTTCCCCAGCAGCAGGTGGGTAGAGCCAGTGAGGTCCCTGTCAGTTTCCTGAGGCCAGCAAATCCTCAGTTCAGCCTTCAGGCCAGGTGTCCAGACAGCCTCAGCCCTCATGGTGACATCCGGGAGACACTGCGCAGGGGCTGGGACCCATCCCTACCTCCCAGGGACAGCCAGGCACCCAGTGGAGAAACTACTTTCTAGGACGAAGCTGGGATCAGCCATGACAGAAACACTTTCAGGACTCAGGCCCGAGCCGCTGGGCTCCACAGCCCAAGGCTGTGGCCAGAGATGGCGGATGGTCTCAATGACCTCTCAAGGCTGAGGCCACGTCCTTGCACTCTCTGTGACCCAAAGCGCCTGGTATCTAGAGTAATAGGGTGGAGAGCCAGCCTTCAGGCCCCAGCGCATCCCAGCCCACCTCACCCAGCTCAAGTAGGTCCCTCAGAGTCCCCCCCTCCCCTCGTTTGGAGCTTGGACTACAGCCTCCGTGTTCTGTTGTGCTGAGCAGCTTACAGGTGCGGCTGGAGTGCCCAGGTTGAAGTCTCTGTTCCACTGGGCCCACAGGAGGGGCCAAGTCCCAAGGGGCCAGCTGCAGTCCAGGTCCACTCCTGCAAATAGGGCATGGAGGAGGGGAGAGGCCGACTCAAGGCAGGAACCCTCTCAGGTTGGCCTCTGGAGAAGGGGGCCCTCCCCATCCCAGGGCCCGCGTGGGGCCCCTGGGAGGACCAGGATGTGGGATCCTTGAGCTCTGAAGACACACAATGCCAGTCAGAGATGTTTACTCTTGGCTGCCCCACTCTTCCCTGTTCCTTCTGAGAATGAGGAAATGGGACATTATCTGTTGAGGTGAGGCATTCTGTATTCATCAGGTGCTCTCCGTACGCACCCCAGCCTGGCCTTGGGCTGAGCAGGGGCCTCCTGGAGGTCAGAGATGACAGCTCAACCAGATCAGAACCACTGACCATGAACAGGGCCAACCAGAGCAGAAGGAATGGGTACAGAGAGTGCCAGGGGACCCTCTGTCCCTGCCAGAGGTGTGGCTCTCCAGGTAATGTTCCCTCATGACTCTCATTGCCGCCTCCTCCCCATCTTGCATAATCCTGACCATAGAGGAAAGGGGCAGAAATCTCACCAAACGTTTCAGCATGAGTTGCTGGTAGTTACCTCACTCTTCCTGAATTTGGCAAACGATAAATCACCCTGGGGTGAGCCGGCAAGTGGACCATAAATACCTCCCCCAGGCCGGCCTCCTTGCTCACCTCCTCCTCCTTCTCCACTGCCAGGTTCAACAGCCGCTCAGCGTCCTCACCCTGAAATCATGCCCCTAGGTCTCCTGTGGCTGGGTCTCACCCTGCTGGGGGCCCTGCAGACGCAGGCCCAGCCCTCCACTCCAAACCTGATCCCAGCCCCTCCTCTGCTCAAGGTCCCGCTACAGCAGGACTTCCAAGATGACCAGGTAAGGGGCCTGGAGAAGCAACTGCGGGGAGGGCCCTGGGAAGAGTGGGAGCGGGAGGGAGGAGAGGCAAACAGCCTTAGGAAGCGTGATGGACCAAGGTGGGCCGAAGCCTCAGCTCAGCCTGCCCTTGGATCCCCTGATGGAAGCCACACCCTATGCCCCCATCTCCACCCCAACCTCGCTGACCTTCCTAGGTCCACACTCTCTCCCACAGTCTCCATAGTCCATGCAAAGTGGGAACATCTTCAGTCCCTCTATGTGATGAGGAAACTGAGGCTCAGGTGGTCCAGCCGGCCACCTGCCGAGAGTCACCCCATCCCTGCCAGACTCATGGCCTAACGGCTTCTAGCTCCTGCCGGCTTCATCAGGGCAGGCCCAACCCTGGCCTGAGTGCCCAGTCAGGAGCCCTATGGCCCAGGTAGTGGGGCTCTTGGCTCTGGGGCCAGGTTACCCAGAGGTGCAATCAGGGACAGAGCAGTAGGGGACCCCTGGGGACCGCTCTGCTTATCACTAGTTCCCCTGCAGTTCCAGGGGAAGTGGTACGTGGTGGGCCTGTCAGGGAATGCAGTTTCCAAAGAAGAACAAGGCAAGTTTAAGATGTACTCCACCACCTACCAGCTGAAAGAAGACCACAGCTACAACGTCACCTCCATCCTGTTCAGGTGAGAGCTGCCACCTCCTGGGGGAGCATGGGGGACCTGGGACAATGCCCTGGGGGACTGCCCTGGGTCCGGGTGTTTGACAGGCAGACTTATGTCTGGAAAAGGGGTGACCGAAGCTGATAGGTGGTCATCGATCCTCCTGCTCTGTGCTGGATTCATATATTTCTTCCTTCCTTCCTTCCTTCCTTCCTTCCTTCCTTTCTTCCTTCCTTCCTTCCTTTCTTTCTTTCTTTCTTTCTT